CTGGTGGAGCAGCTGCTCCCAAGGATGCTTTGAACTCTGTCCTGGCCCCCAACAGGTGGTGACACCTCAGGGGGTCTGGGCTTGAGTGCAGGAAGGACGAAAATATCTGCAGCTGTGCACATCCTAAATTCGAGTTTCCTTTCAGGGTTTTAAATACATTTTTATAATACAATTGTTACAAGTACTGTATTTGACTTGTGAATGAATTCAAGTCCAAATTTTATCTTTGCTTGGACGTCGTGTCACCCAAATTTTGAAAATACAGTGCTGTAGTTCATTTTGACCAAAGCGCTACGCCCCCAACTTTTTCTTATGCGTATCTAGGTTAGGTTCACGTCTTCCAGGGTTTAATTATAGTCTACATTCCTTCGTAAACTCGATGAAGAAACCTTGATTGGAAGAAAAATCTATTTCGAAAAAATATTGCTCTTAAGAGTAAGAAGTGTGAAAACATTCCAAAAATGAATAAGCAACGCATTTGTATGCTTATTCCATAGTCGATCACTCGTTCTGTTTTTTTTTTTTTTTTTAAATTTGCGAGACTAATATTTTCAAATATTCCGGCCAATCCGGCGTTCTTTTCATTTAGTACCCTGGAAATAAAATTATTACTATGGAGTCTATAAAGTCAATTCGGTGAAAAATGAATTCTGACCTGGGTGAGAATATTTCTCGCATTTTATTTCAGTTATCCTCAGTTGAAGCGAAGACCGTATGCATACATTCGCGACGATGACGTGTCATACTTCAGAGATCTGCTCGCAGATGACGGAACCCGCGTGATTGCAGATCCAGAAAAATTGATACAACATTCTTGCGATTGGCTCAAGACACTTAGAGGTTAGTCTGATTTGGGTGATCGTCAGTTTTAGTTTCTTCGATTTTATTGTGTCCCTCGAAGGGAGCAGTCCGCTGCTGATTTTCCCGAAGTCTGTGGATGAAATCCGGAAAGTTTTGGCGTATTGCTTTGCGAAAAACTTGGCTGTGGCTGTTCAAGGAGGAAATACTTCCATGGTTGGCGGTGCTATACCAATATTTGACGAAATCATTTTGAACACAAGTTTACTTAACGCGATTCATTTCGTTGACGAGATTTCCGGTGAGTAATCAGGGTAATTTTCTTCTGCCCAAGCCGGTGACTTCATATTTGCATGTCTTCCAAGCTTGGCCAGGAAGCCTTATAAAGTGCTTCCACTCCCCTTTCACAGAGGGAGGATTAAAAAAATTGCAATGCCTTACAAATAGCAATTATTTAAATAAACGATGCCGAATTAAATTTGAATTACTGTATATTGAAACTTCAATTCAAGTGCTTCGGAATCAAGTTTTTTTCATGTGTATTTTGTATTTTTATTGCTGTATATAAACTTGAGAAAGCGATTTATTGTGAAATATGCGTAACTTCGGGGAAAGTTACCCGAAAAAAGCAATACCTCGAAAACTTGGAATACCCTAAAACCTAATTTGGTGTCGAAGCTTTTTTTTTTTACAGTAAATTTGTATTTATTTGTATGAAGAATATTTTTATTGTTATGGCCATTTTAAATGCAGGTTATTGCGAAATCGGGAATTTTCATTTCTAAAATTCTGTTTTGAAAGGAATGGCGGAATGACGCGATAAAAAATATACAGTATTGTATCTGCTTGGGCCAAAATGTTGCTGATAGAAGAATTGGATAAGATTA